CCCTTCACATTTTTTTTCCTTTGGAGTTTCACATTACTATTGGACTTCGTTAGATTGAGTTAACAATGACTGGCTCATCAGGAGTCAATTGCTACACCATCTGCAACAACGCTATGCTCCTATCGGACGGGCACTCTTGTTAACAATGACTGGCTCATCAGGAGTAAATTGCTACACCATCTGCAACAACGTTATGCTCCTATTGGACGGGCACTCTAAGTGCATCAGATGTTTGGGGGAATCTCCTGTCCTGCAAGTTTGCCTTCATTGCTCCAAACTGAAGGTGCAAACCTGCAGAGACACAGACCTGTGTCTAAATTTAATCATACTAAAAAAATCGCAACATCCAGTCTGTGACCCGGGCACTGAGGTGGCTGAAATTCTCCAGATCAGTAAAAGGAAGAAACCATCCAAGAAATGCACCTCCTCGGTGCCACATAAGGTTCCATCCCTGAAACGGTGCTCGACAATGAAATCGGCACCAGTGGCTGAATTGGTACACCATGCCTTAGAACATAGGAATGGTAGAAGGAAGAACAGCAAAATAGAGACAGTGGATTTCAGGAAGGCAGATTTTGGTAAACTCGGAGAGCTGGTAGGTAAGGTCCCATGGGAAGCAAGACTAAGAAGAAAAATAACTGAAGAGCGTTTGCAGTTTTTTAAAGGAACATTAGTTAAAGGCCAAAAAGCAAACTATTCCACTGAGTAGGAAAGATAGAAAATATGGCAGGAGACCACCTTGCATCAACCAGGAGATATTGCATGATTTAAAAATAAAAAAGGAGTTGTATAAAAGGAGTCAAATTACAAAAGATGAATGTAAGCAAACAACACAGGTATGTAGGGGCAAGATTAGAAAAGCAAAGACACCAAACAAGCTAAATCGAGCTAGAGCCATAAAGGGTGACAAGAACATGTTCTGCAAATATATTAGAACCAAGAGGAAGACCAAGGACAGGTAGACCCATTGCTCAGTGAAGTGGGAGAAACAATAACAGGAAACTTGAAAATGGCAAAGGTGCTTAATGACTTCTTTGTTTCAGTTTTCACCAAGAAGTTTGATGGTGATGGGATACCTAACACTAGTGGAAAGGGGGTAGGTTTAGAAGATAAAATAAAAAAAGAACAAGTTAAAATTATTTAGAAAAGTTAGATGTCTTCAAATCACCCAGGCCTGATGAAATGCATCCTAGAATATTCAAGGGGCTGATAGAGGAGGTATCTGAGTCTTTAGCTATCATCTCTGAAAAATCATGGAAGACAGGAGAGATTCCAGAAGACTGGAAAAGGGCAAATATAGTGCCCATCTATAGAAAGGGAAATAAGAACAACTCAGGAAACTATAGACCAGTCAGTTTAACTTCTGTGCCAGGAAAGATAATGGAGCAAGTAATTAAAGAATTCATCTGCAAACAACTAGAAGAAATTAAGGTGATAGGGAACAGCCAGCATGAATTTGTAAAGAACAAATCATGTCAAACCAATCTGATAGCTTTCTTAGATAAGATAGCGAGTCATGTGGAGAAGGGAGAAGCGATGGATGTGGTATACCTAGACTTTAGCAAGGCATTTGATACGGTCTCGCTTGACCTTCTTATCAATAAACTAGGCAAATACAACTTAGATGGGGCTACTATAAGGTGGGTACATAACTGGATGGATAACTAAGAATAGTTATTAATAGTTCACAATCCTGCTGGAAATGGGGTTCCGCAGGGGTCTGGTTTCGGACCAGTTCTGTTCAATATATTCAATATTGACATAGAGAGTGTGCTTATTACATTTGCAGATGACATCAAGCTGGGAGGAGTTGCAACTGCTTTAGAGGATAGAATCATAATTCAAAATGATCTGGACAAGCTGGAGAAATGGTCTGATGAAGTTTAATAAGGACAAATGCAAAATACTCCACTTAGGAAGGAACAATCAGTTTCACGCATACAGAAGGGGAAGCAAGTGTCTAGGAAGAAGTACTGCAGGAAGGGATGTAGGGGTCCTAGTGGACCACAAGCTAAATATGAGTCAACAGTGTGACACTGTTGAGGAAAAAAATAAACATGATTCTGGGATGCATTAACTGGAATGTTGTAAGCAAGACATGAGAAGTCATTCTTCCGCTCTACTCTACACTGATTAGGCCTCAATTGGAGTATGTGTCCAGTTCTGGGCACCACATTTCAAGGAAGATGTGGAGAAATTGGAGAAGGTGCAGAGAAGAGCAACAAGAATGGTTAAAGGTCTAGAGAACATGACCTGTGAAGGAAGGCTGAAAGAATTGGGCTGGTTTAGTTTTGAAAGGAGAAGATTGAGAGGGGACATGATAGCGGTTTTCAAGTGTCTAAAAGGGTGTCATAAGGAGGAGAGAGAAAAATTGTTCTCCTTGGCCTCTGATGATAGGACAAGAAGCAATGGTCTTAAACTGCAGCAAGGGAGATTTAGGTTGGACATTAGGAAAAGCTTTCTAACTGTCAGGATCGTTAAACACTAGAATAAGGGAGGTTGTGGAACCTAGGGAGGTTGTGGAATCTCCATCTCTGGAGATATTTAAGAGCAGGTTAGATATCTGGGATGGTCTAGACAGTACTGGGTCCTGCCATGAGGGCAGGGGATTAGACTTGATGACCTTTCAAGGTCCCTTCCAGTTCTAGTGTTCTATGATATGATGCTCCGGGCATCTTTGGCACTGGGAGCTCTAGCAATAGGCACAGTTCGGATAGACTCTGTGCTGAGGCCACAGGTTTGAATATGCCTGCCTCACAGACTACAATAGCAAATACAGCACCAAGCACACATGATGCTGCCACCTTGGTACAGAGGGCTACACATATGGCACCTGACAACTGCCCACACTGGATGCCAGCACTCTAGATCCATCACTTGGTGCCAGAACCATGACAGCATGGGATGCAGCTGTCATAATCGGCACCAACTATGATGCAGGCAACTATGGCACCATCCTCTCCAGCACTGAGATACTTACATCAGAGGGACTTGTCTCCTTGACCTTCAACTCACCCTTTCTCAGAACCAACACTACACTGGCACAACAGCACCAAGACACCATATGTTGCCTACAGAGTTATCTGGCGATTATGACAAGGTGGTCATAACCTTCTCACCTCAATTGTCTCAGTACAGAGGATTCCATGCCTGATCTGCTCCCAGCAGTTTGAGATTCCCATCAGGTAGGAATATTCCACAATAGGCCCCACATCTGTGGATGCCACCACTTGTGCCATACATGGGCATTGGCAATACTAGAGACCATGGGCTTACACCTACAAATGGACACACAGTAAGCAGTGTGCCATACAACCCACTGCCTCTCTGCCACCGCAATCTCCATCACTGCAGCGACAAGAAGAGAAGGTTCAGGACCCACAGTCTCCACGAGCAGGGCCATATACATCCCCAGATACTAATTCCTCATTTTCCCCTGATGAGGCAGTCATGGCAGCACCTCCAACTGTGGTGGATGACTTCACTACCTTCCAAGACCTTTTAAAAAGAGTAGCAGCTGACCTCAATATTGCCATAGACTAGAGGGAGTCACAGGGAGCCAGCATGAGCTTACTAACCTCCTTCAAGGCACGCAGTGAGTGAAAATTGCACTGCCTATTAACCTGGCAATAATGGACCCTGCCAAGACTATCTGGCGGACGCCAGCTACCATCCCACCCACACGTAAATGGGTGGATAGGAAACATACATTCCTCCTAAGGCCATGGTGTCGAACACATTAGCCACTAGCCTCATGTGGCTATTTGGTTGGTTGAGTTGGACACCACAATTGTAAAGGCTCCAAATTTCTCTTTAGTCCTAACTCTCCTCCTCCTAACTCTCTGGTAGTGGAGGCAGCTCACCAGAGAAATAAGCATCAGCAATCCCACTCCACTTTTTCTGATCGGGATGGTAATGGTGTGTCTAGACTACAGGGTATGTGTGTGGGCGGGTTTTTTTGTTTTTTCTTTCTCCAAAAAAAGTGGCCTTTTTTTCGAAAAAAAATTCCCCTGCGTCTAGACTGCCACCGCGTTCTTTTGAAATTAAATTGAAAAAATGCGGCAGTCTTTTTCAGCCGTGGTAAACCTCATTTTAGGAGGAAGAACACCTTTTTTCGAAAGTGCTCTTTTGGGAAAAAAAAGGCATTCTTTAATGCAAACATTTTCAAAAGAGAGCATCCAGACTGCCTGGGTGCTCTCTTTCA